GGTGTCCCTGCCATGGCAGGGGTGCGATGGGATGAGATTTAAGGTCCCTTTCAACCCAAACCATTCAGGGATTCTTTGATTCTTCCCCTGGCATTAATCGGGATGGCTCTGCCATCAGCCTCGGACAGCTGCCAGCTGGGAACAGTGACAGTTTGTGTCCTCCTCGGAGTAAATCACAGCTTAATCCAGCCACGAGATGGTTTCAGACAGCCATCATCCGAGCTGGGTGACACATCAGTGCCTGTGCACGTTTACCTCTATAAAGAAAGCACAAACCAACATCCTTTCTTTGGTTTTTCACAAAAAAAACTACACAAATCTATTGAGTTTCACTGACACTAATATCGAGTTTAACAGCTCTGTGTCCTCGCTTGGAAAGACAGAAGACAGCGTGGGTTGGTGATAGAAGTAGTGAAATTTCTGTGGCTGAAATATTTTCTTTTAAATTTCAGAAACAGACAGAAATGCTGAGCTGGGTTTCTCTACCAGGTCCACCTTTCCCCGGTGGGAAACATCACTAGTCAGAAAACAGCCCAGCAGATGCCACTTTAGCAAGGTAGGATCAGTCTGTTCTCTGCCAGGTCCACCTTTCCCCGGTGGGAAACATCACTAGTCAGAAAACAGCCCAACAAGGTAGGATCAGTCTCCCCTGTCCAGGTAAAGGCATTCTGCAATTCAGATGCAGTGCAAATTCAGGTGGTAACAGGTTACTCTCCATCCTCAGCCCTCCCTTGCTGCAATCTCCTGCTTTATCGATTCAATACCACATTTTCCTCCCTGGGCAACAATAGATTCTGCTTTAATACCACTAACTGCAACATTTGTGTCCACTTCAGTGGCATTTAAAATACTTTGTCTCTTGCAATAACACCTCGTTTGTAGCACTCCTGTAACACTCCCGACATCAATGGCACATCTTTGTATCAGCACAGAGAACACTTGTAATGTAACCCACTAACTCTTGAATGGTGAATGTCAACAAAGAACTGCCACTTTTATCAGGAATTCTGGGGACTGGGGAATCCAGGGATTCAGTGAAGTGCAGCTCTAACACCGAGGCTGCCCTTGGGTTGTTTGTCTTTTCTCCCTTTGTGGTTTGGGAGACATTTAATTAAAAGTATCCTGAGGGTTACCCTCAGCTTCTCCCCATGGACTGCAAACCCACCTGGTGAGTGTTAATTAGCTTGGCAAGCAGTGGATGAAGCCAAATTGCCACTTTTCTGTATCCCAGACACACAGGTGCCCTGTGCCTGAGGGATGACACCTGCCACAGCTGCATTCCCAGCTGTTCTCAGGGGGCTTGGACATGTCAGAGAAGCTCAATTTCAGTAACAAACATCACTACTCAGGCCACCAAACATACAGTGATTTTGGGTTGTGTCCCCACCCCTTTATTTGGATCACAATTTCAAGCTCTTCAGAATATTAAATGCAAAATATTTTTTTCAAAGCCCCGTAAAAGGAAGTTTTAAAAGTAAATTGCAGCTGACCCAGCTATGTGGAGACTCCTGTGAAACTGGGAGCATTAGTAATGCTGTAACAATCTGCATTTCATTTATAATTATCCTGTTAAAAACAGACAGAGAGTTCTTTGAATACACATTTTAGTCACCTAAATTCTGTCAACTTCTCCCAAGACATTTTTGGTCAATTGAAGCTCTGTCAGGAGCATGGAGCAAGCCAGAATTCCACAGGTTTTACCACAATCTTTTATTCAAAGTTTGGTTTCATTTGTCTCACCTGAAAGACAAATAGAATTAAACAGACATGCAACATTGCCTGTGAAAAATGAAGCAGTTGTCCTTTATAGTGCAAGAGTGTAAAGCTTGATTTATTTACACATTTTAAGGTGAACAGGAGAACGTTGTAGGCAGATCATTTTATACGTTCAGCTGTGCTCCACAGAGTTAAGTTACACAGAAAATACACACTGAGGATGTTTTAAGTGCTCTGGTGCATCGAGAAGCCACACAGGGTGGAGGCCAGAGATGTCAGATCCCACTGGGTAAGGAAGGCAGGGATGAAGCCAAGGAGCTGCTCCTTCAGCCAAGTGCTGGAGCAGCTCCTGGTGCTGAGAAATCCCTTCCATTTGGAATCCATTTGAAATCCCTTCCATTGGAATCTGAGGGTGCTGTGCCACGTGCAGGGTCCTGCATCAGCCCTGCAGTGTTGATATTCACAGATCAGAGTGTGCTGTACAACACTTAAATAATTTTTCACCCTGGAATGTGGCACAGGGCTCCTCTCCTTTAAACCTTCCTGAGCTGCTCAGCAGTAAATATTTGCTGCAATGCCAGGCATGGCCACTGTCACCTCAGACTAACAAATATTCTGTGAAAAGCTCAATGTGAGGGTGCAAAACCCTTCCTGTTTCAGCTTCTCTGGACTAGAAGGGAGGTGAGGAGTTTAATTCACTCCTGAAAGAGCCAGAAAGAGCACAGAAGTCCTTCAGTCAAGTTTAAACAAGATACTTGGTTTTTCTGGGCCTTGCTCATGCCTTTTCTTATGCTAAAGAGCAAAAATAACATTTTTTGGAAGATTGGGAGAAAAAGCAAGAAAGAGGAAGGTGCATAAAATTAAAAAAAAACCAAAAAACAACCAAACAAAACAAATCCCATTTTAGGATTCCAGTGTTGAACAGCAGCAGCAAACAGGAGTGAGTGCAGTCCCTCAGTCCTACCCCTACATCAGTCAGGGAGCTGAGGCCCATGGCCAGGAGCACCCCAGGCTCCACTGCTGTGGCACAATGATCAAAAATATTGTGATTTATGTGCTGTAGAAACAGACACCACCTCCAGTGGAGGCCTTTGGCAGGGAAGTTTCAAGAAGCAAACAAAGGAAGATTTCCCTGTGGCTGCAGGTAAAGGGAACTGTCATTATTAAGTAGAATTATTTGAGCACACAGAGACTGTGTAAATAAAACATGGTTATGTAAAGTTTTGGAGCAAGACTTGCCTTTAGAATCTTTGCAATAAAGGGCCAAACCCACACAATAACACAAAAGCTCAGCTGGTGGCAGTTTCACTCAGAGAAGGGCTGACACCTGAGGGCTCTGTGCAGGGAGCAAGGGCAGGACCTGGGCTCAGGAGAACTGGGGAGTTTACACAAAACCACCCCTGAACAGGCCAGAGAGCAGCCTGCAAGGCAAGCCCAGAGCACTCTGTCCCCTGGCTCTGTGGCCATCTCTCAGGGCCTGTGCTGAGGAGCAAAACCCAAAGCAGGACTCACGGCTGCCAGGTCTGTGCTCAGTCACCTGCTGGGTTTAAACCCTGCTGAGAACTGGGACCAGTGCACTGGCACACACAGGACCCTCCTGACTTGGATGTCAGCAGCCATTTAGGCCCTTGTGATGAATTATTTTGTGCCACCTAATTAACCACAGAGAATATTGCCATGGAACAAGTGTGTGGTGTAGCACAGCTTGTTTTCAGACTCTGTGTTCTGTGACTGAAGAACCAATAGGTCAGAACAGGTTGATGAAATGGGAAGAGATAAGGAAAGGCAGCATTCCTGTGCCCTTCCCATTCAGCCTCCCTGCAGTGCTTCATTCTGCATCGTTAATGAACAAAAGCTGCCCATAAATTCACCAACAATCGATGGCCACATGCAAAGGCAGTAAATCAGTGTCACTGCACCCCAGCAAGATGAATGCTCTGGCAGCAGGAGCCCATTAACATCCTTATCTTGCCTAATCACAAATAAAGTATTGAGGGTGAAAGGAAAGCTGTTATTTCTTGAGGTTTCCTAAGTTCCAGTGCAGGGGATGCCACTGATAAGATCTGAATTGTGCCCAGCTGGTGAAGAAACCTGGGTACAGCCCCAGGGCACCTCCCCTGTGCAGGGAGAAGGTTATTTTTCTAAGCTGCACAAAAATGCCAAAGCAATCCAAAGCATGCCCAGATTGAATCAGTCTGCAGAGCTGGCAAAGCAAACAAATGCAAAGGAACCGTTCTGTTGTCATTTACAACAACAAGAACCTAGAATAATCATGTACAGGTCAGGGGAGTTGTTGGGAATTTCTGGTAGTGGGAAGAGAAACTGGCCATGAGTCAATTTAACAAATAAAAATAAAAATAAATAAATGCAGAAAGACACTATTCCAAACCTAAAATAATCCCAAACTCCCTGGTACTGGGGGAATCACTTAAAAATACACAGAACATGAGAGCTATTCCTTTCAAATAAAATTCCAGGGTCATGGAGACTACTATGCAGGCAGCCCAAACCACACTGAGTGAACTTAAAATTCATTTTTCCAGAAAAAAACCCCCCAATTTTAGAGCAGCCAGTGCCATCAAAGTGCCAGGATAACCAGTGAATGTTGTACTTTCTCCTCCTCACATGACAGTTCCCCATGCTCCCCCCCTGTGTCCATTCTCCCTCAGTATCAGCTCCTGGCCATCTCCTGGAAGCTGGAAAGATAAATATCAAAGTACACAAAGCTCCATTATCCTCACAGGCCTCAGTGAGTGCTGGGCTGTGCAACTTCTCTCCTTAGGTCATCCACAATAGTAGACAAGTATTGTTTTTCCTTTTTTTAAAAGAAAGAAAAAGGGGGAGGACCCCAGCTTACATCACCTAAACTGAGCTTTTGAACTAAGGAACTTAACACCTTTAAGTAGTTGGGACTACTAAAGTTTGAAATCCTGCCTCAATCAGAAAGAAAATAAATAAACATGATAAAGAATTCAGATTTTGTCCAAAATTCCATAAATTCCCCACCAGACACAGTCACATCATTCTCATTTCTCCATGTCCTCATTCTTTATAGTGTTCCCTCTGCACCATTTAATCCAACTTGAAGCTCCTGCTATGAAATCAGAAAACTGGCAAATAATCTTTGTTCTAAGCCATATAATCCAGTGGTGCTCTAAAAACAACCCCATCCTCAGTGCTTATGTTCAACACCAGAACAGAAGTGCCCAAAATTGGTGGTTTGAAGGGATAAAGTGTTCACTCTCACCAGTTCTGCTGCTCTAAAGACACAGCGAGTTCCAGTGTTGGTGCTTCAAAACAATTCCATTTATTGCCATGTCAGGGGAGCTCCATGGTCACACCAGGATTTAGAGCCTTCCTGGAAATCTGTCACAGTCCCTGTAAATGAAAGATTAAATCCTGTCCTCCTCTCTCTGTGAGCAGCTCCTGAAAACTTGTCTGGAGATAAAACCACCCCCAGCAGGGCTGAAAACTGCACAGTCACTTCCACAGCATCTCCTCTCTCATCAGTTCCACAGTGCTGCACTCACCAGTCCATCATTCCACACTCCCAGCCAGCAGAATTCCATGCAGGACTGGGATTTGCTTCCCACCAAGTGCTTTCAACTTCCCAACTAGAAAAAGTTGTTTATTTTAATAATCAGCCTGGAAAGTTCAGCTCGAGACGAGCTTAAAACTCTTCTCAAGGTCGGCTTTACACTTGCTTCTATTTGAACAGGTAAATAAATAAAGGTCAAACTCCTGACGACTCCCATCAGTCCTTGAAGGTCGCTCACTCCTTCTTGCTGTGCTCCAGCACCCTGTAGGGAGGGGCAGAGCCTGCCTTGGATCCGTGCTGCTCCTGCACGATGGGCAGCGTGGCTGGAGTGTAGATTTCTGGCATGCTGTCGTTGTTCTCCAGGGCGCCGTAGGAGAAAGAGGCTTTGAGGTCAGGCTGCACTGCAATCCCTTTGTCGTGCATGTTCTGCATGCCTGCAGGAGCAGAGGCACAGATTAGGGACAAAAGTGCTTTTTTGCTGCTCTCTGTTCAGCCAGGAAATGAGCAGTCCCCGAGGCTCGTCAGCTGCTCGGGTGTTAAATCAAAGGCAGGATGGGTTTGTGCTCAGCATTGGAGCAGCTGATGGAGAAATAAGCTCTCAGTTATCCATCAAGTGCTGCAGATCTTACAGCTCACCACAGAGCTTAGCTGTGCTTCCCAAAGGAAATTTCTGCTCCTCTGCCTCATTTCTGAGCCATCCCCAAAACTCAGTTCTTCCTGCTGGACCCAGCCCAATGCCAAGCTCGTGCTCAAAGCAGTTCATATTCCCAGATAACAACTGCCTGATCCCCCCAGCCCTGAGCAGAGGCACAGCCTGAGCCCTCCCTGTGCAGCCCAGCTCTTGAACAGGGGGATGAAGCCCTGCACTTGGTACCTGGCATGGCATCCATTGAGATGTAGGGCTCGAAGGGGACAGGCTTCTTCCTGTTCCTGGTGATCAGGAAGACTCCCAGGAATGCTATGAGACACCTGAGGGAGGAGAAAGGATCACTGAGATGCCTGGCAAGGGAGAGCACAGAATATCCCCTGTTGCTCCCTACAGAATCCAGAGCTGCAGTCCAGGCACTGCAAATCCAGAATTCCAGAGCACTGTCCAAGCTGAGCCCCCTTGGGCAGCACTGGAACACCCCCAGCAACCAGCACAACTTTATCAAACACATGGGAAAGTTTTCATGTTAATGAATTAATTAACCTTGACTAACTGCAGGGGACAGGAAGCATAGCAACGTTTGGTTTTACTTTGATGGAATTCCAGGATTTAGCAGCCTGACCTTTCCAAGGCTCCCTGTAAACACACCAACAACCACGGACCTGGACTGTCACAGAGCAAGGTGCAGCTCAGAACAATGATCTCCCAATTGTTTGGGGATTTTTTTCTGTACTTATCTAAAAGCCATTTGAGAATGTCCCCTGATTATGGAGAGCTAATTACACCAAAACACTCAGTTACACAGGAAATGTTTTACTGATCAGATCTGCATTGTGCCTTCTCCATGCTCTAAAAACTCCAGAAGTCAGACACAGTTCAGGGAAGGTGCAAAGTCTGAAATAAGGTTCCCAGAGAGAGTCTCTTTGGGTTATTTTACAATTCTTCCAGATTCATGAGCAGGCAGCTTGAAAACCAAGCCATATGCTCAGCACCCCAGCTGATCCCCAGGATTTAGTGATTAATTGTTGTGTAATTGTGCATTACCAAGGGTTACACGATTTTTTCCAAACACAACACTGAGCTCTAAGGGCCACTCTCTGCTCTGACAGAGAGGCATTTTTAAAACAGATTTGTATTTTTAAAATTTGAGCCACGTGAAACAACAGTTTTCTGTCAAAGAAACCTGGAACACTCACCCCAGTGCAAACATACAAATGTGGAGAACATCTTCACCCATGAAGTCCAGGTAAAAAGTTGCTCCTGGAAAAGGAAATCATTCATTACATCTTCCCAATTCCACCTTCAGCCAGGATTCCTATTTTTATATCCAGCACCTTTGTTTATTTAATGATCTGAAAATAGATGTCCTGATTTCTATTTTAACACAAATTATTGACAAATCTTTTTGAGTTTCACTACCAAAATAGTTCTGCTGGTGTCACTAGCAGAGATATAAATGAATCTGTGCAGCAAAAACAAGAGGGACTATTTTGGAATGATGAAACAAATTGGATTTAACTACAAAAAGATGCAAACTCTTGACCCCAAACAACAACAAACAGCTCCAACTTCCAGAAGTGCCTTTGGTGTCCTGGGTGGCAGCAGGACACATGTTCTGCCTCCTGCTCTTTACATTTTTAATGTAAAGAAAATAAAGTCAAAAATAAATAACAAGGGAACATTTTACCTGCAGATCTAAGAGGAACAATCTCAAACAAATTCCCCTGCACTTTTAACAAAATGACAGCACTGAACAGAAAATTTTAACACAGTCTACTGGGATAATTCACATTTTTAAAAAAGAAAAAAATAAACTAAACAAAGCCAGTACAGATGAGAGATGACAAAAAAATAAGAGTCACCATATTGCTGAGTATTCACCTTCTTCAGGAGGATTATTTCCCAAAATCTTTTGCCCTTTTTTTAGGGAGGTTTGTGCAGTTACCTGCTGAGATTGCTGCTGTGGTGGATAGGATGTAGCCAATGCTGGAGATCTGAGCTGAGTCATAGAGCTGGGAGGCTTGAGCTAAAAACCTGCAACACAATCACAGGCAACAGGGGCTGATTGGGAAGGATCCTTTTTTTGGAAACACCTTTCAAAAGCGATGCATAAATTTAAGGAAATTCATTCTTTTTCTCACTGAACAGCAGCAGCAGCAGCAAGCCTTGGAATGAATAAAAAGGACAGAAGAGGGAGGTTTGTGGCTGCACTGAAATTACTGCCCCAACCTCAGGGCCAGTGTTCCTCATAGTTTGAGAAGCCTTTTATCCCTGCTGCTACCAGCTTTTTATGTTACTGCAAGTACAAAGGGGAAAAAGCCCCCTAAAAATAGACACATTATCAACAACACTGATCCTGCACTTGGATTTCTGGCAGCACATATACTGCATTTGATTTGCCACCATTTCAGTCCTAAAACTGTTTGGCAAATCCTTGAATGGTGGCATTAAACCACTGGCAGTGTCACTCTGTGGAGAAGGAATGACCCCTCCAGGCTCCTGGGACAGATCACAGCAAAGAAAGGATAATTCTCCTACATTTTAATGGGAATTTTTGGCATGGTACCAAAGAGCTCCTGACCCCCACCCCACAGAACTGCAGAGAAAGAGAGGAGTCCTTACGTGGCCTGGTAGATGGCTGTGGCAATCATGCACACCAACATGATGTAGAAGATGGGGGAGTCCAGCTGCAGGGTGCCCTGGATGGACACCAGGATCATGCCAGCCACAGCCTTCACTGTCACCACCGTCATGGAACCTGGGGGGCACCACACTCAGCTGGGGCAGCTGCAGGAGGCTGCAAACCACCCCAGCACCCCCAAAAACCTGCCCCTCCTCCTGCCAGGCCAGACAAGGCGTGCAAACTGCCCGTGTGCCACCAGCTCTGCCCGTTCTGATCCCCACAAACCCACCAAGCAACCTCCCACAAATCACTGATCCTTTTTCTATCTACAGAACTGGGAGATTTACTGCTGTTGTCAGTGTTTGAAGAGTGTTCTGCAATTACAGGATGGGAGGAAACGATTTTCCATTTGGTTTGGTTAATAAAGTCAAAGAAGTGTCCAAAACAATAATCAGGAAGAACTTTCCTTTCTTGAAAGTTGGGCCATTCACAATTAGGGAAGTTGCTTTGTAATTCATGGAGCCTCTGAGGCACCACTGAAATCCAGCCCCAAACAGCTCAAAAAACCAAAAAAGAGTAAAATAAAAGACATTGCAGGAACTGAAGGTGCATAAACAGTAAAAATTGAGGACTGGACACAGATTTCAGCATGGCAGACTTGCTATTAGTCATTCTTTTAAAAGTTTAATTGATTACAGTTTGCATTAAAAAAAAAAAAAAAGTATTAAATGTGTAAATCCAAAGTCACTGCAGGATCCCACTGTGGGATACCAGAATCACCAGGGACTCAGTTCCACAGGGACAAGCTGGGGTGGCAGAGGATTCCTCATTTCTTCAACCACACAGCAAATCTTAACAGAGCTAAGACAATTTTTGTAGGTCAAATCCTCTCTTTCACCCACTGGCTCAGCCCTCCTTGCACACTGAATGCCACCCTTTGTGTGCCCAGATTAAAATGAAGAACACTAATAAATAACCTGCACTTTCTGTGCTTGGCAGATTATTTGTCTGATGGGAAATAAGCCTTAATTGTTCAAAGGTCCTTTGCAAAGATCCTAAACATCAGCTTCAGGAACATTTCTGGAGGAAATTAGCGCATTTCATGGCATTAATTAAATCAATTTAATCCCCTACATGCCTCAATTTACTGTTTAAAGATCTTACAAAGTCCATATCAACTTACCCAGCAAAGCCACCAGCAGGAGAATAATGACAATGTAGTTTGCATTTCTCTCCTTGTAAAAATACAGGAGCAGACAGAAAACAATGATCTCCACAAGCTCCAAAAGAGAGAAATGAGAACATTAGAGATGCAGAGCACATGGGGCTGGCAGTAAATGAGATTCTGAGCCAATCAAACATTAGAATAGGACAAATCAAAGGGAAATGGGGATCCCACACAATTATAGGCAATTCAGCATCATCTCAGATTCCAGTTAGAGGAGCAGCTTCTGGCAGAACAGGAAACACAGGGCACTTCTGGTGCTGGATTTGTGGTGAAGCAGCTGATCAAATAGTCCTGACTGAATATTCACAGGAGAGATCTCAGTCTGCTTCCTGCACTGAGCTTCCACAAGTGATCCCTGGGGCAATGCCAAGATTATCTTCACTAAAACACAAATTTCATGGGATTTTCAATAAGAGATTTGTGGGCCCAGAGAAAGTCAGTGTGGAAAAAGCCCAGATTCAGGCACCAGTAAACTTTCAGTCAAAGACATTTAATCCTACAGAATTCAGAGAAACAAAAGGAGCTGTGCATGTGTCTGACACCTGGAAAAGCTGTCCCAGGTTCATGAGTGAACACAGGGAACACTGGTAGCAACCAGGAGAAACAATGCTGGAAATGAAACTGCCCCCAGCAGAAAACCCCCCCTCCACGGCCCCTCACCATGTAGAGCAGGAATGGCCAGCTCACTAAGTGCCTGGTGATGTTTTCTGCTGTCATCTTCTCGTGGCTGTTGGGTCCAAATGTCACCAGCAGGTAAGTGCCAACAACTGCCAGGCCACAGCCCACGAAGGACAGCAGGTACCGCCCTTGGGCAGGCACAGGAACAGGAGAGGAAGGGTTAATGAGGGAGTGGGATGCATGCAATTAATGAATTAATCCCACAGCATCATCACTGGATGTTCCTCTGGGCCCCCTTCCTGCCCCACCTCCAAAATCCTGCAGCCACCAGGGGCAGTGAGGGAGTGGGAGCTGAGACCAAGTTGGTACCAGGTGGCATCTGCTAAATAAATAAAACTGCAAGATCTGTGATCCTGCCTGGCACTGCCCACAGCCCTTTCCCACTTTCCCACGCCTCCATGTTCATGGAATTCATTCCCTTGTGCCTGTGCTGCAGCTTCAGCCTGTTTCTAAATGCTGTGAGGTTCAGGGGATCTGGCACAAGCCAGGAGAAAGATCCATTTGTAATAAACAGTGGAAGAGATGACACATTTCATCCAAGATGTGCTAATGAGACCTTGCCAGCCCTGTAATTATAATTCCTGAGGGCCCATGCTGTGTGTGATGAACTGTAAACACAGAGGAAAACTGAAAAGAAGCTGTGGAACTTACTCAAAAATTCCTTGGGCTTCCATTTTTCTTTAATAAATATAATTCCTATGATTGCACTAGCTACGAAAGAAAAGAAAATGAGAGAGAAACAGTGAATTCTGGAGTCAGGAACCTCCCACAGGAACACACTCAGGCTCTTTCCTCCTTACCCACAACAGACACTGCACTGAGGGGCACAATCAGAGAGAGAGGAGCAAAGGCATAGGAGGAGAACACTCCCAGCTCCCCCAGCAGCAGCAGCAAGAATCCACTCCACCAGGTCTTGGTCCTGAAGTAGGCCCGGGGGTCTTTGGAGCCTGCCAGCCTGATGTGGCTGTATTTCTAGGCAAGAAAACAGAAATGAAGCAGCTTTGTCACGTTTGTTTGTTTATTTCAATGCAGGATGAGTGTTTGCTTCAGGGCACTCACCTGGAGGTTGAGGGCAATGCTGCTGACAAGGTGCCCAAAAATAGCCAGAAGTGCCCCAATCAAGTTCTCCTGCAAAAACAAAGGGAACACACAATTATTAAATTCAGCCAAGGATCCCAGAGGGGTTTGCTCTCTCTGGAGGAGAGCAGGATTTTAAACCATTCCTGAATCATGGAACAGCCTGGGATGGAAGGGACTTTTAAAGGTCATCTGGTCCAACACCCAGCTGTCAATAAAACCTGTTATCTTCCTCCCTTCCTGCTGATGTGGGACAGCTCAGATAAGTGCTGTGCCTGTGCTCCAGACCTGTGAACTCAGGTGGAAGATAAGCCTCAACAGCCACTTTCTCCAAGAGACTTCAATTAGTTTGCAGTTTCTCAGAGAGGAGCAAGATAAGGCTAAAAAGGCCCACACCATCACTCATTCCTGCCTCTGAAAAACTCTTTTATGAGGATTTTATTGCCTTGGAATTCTACAGAGAAGGATCAGGAACCTCTGCTTCTCAACTATTTTGCTCTTCTCCACTTGTGACAGCTGCTGGTTCAGTCACTGATTCAGCCCATGTGATGAGGCAGCCCAGTTATCACAGATTTTAATCTGCTTTTTGTATAAACCAGTTATTCCCAAAGTCACAGGAGACTGCTGACAGCTCCCAGCCTCTTGTGCATTGGCATCTGCAGCTCAGCAACAATTCTCATGCTCTGAAGATGGAATTTGAAATGAAGAAAGGATGTAAAGCAGGCTGAGTCACACAGGAGATGCAGAGGAGGACTGAAGAGAAGAGCCTGAGGCCACCAAACATTTGTGTGCTCCCAAAACTGCCTAAACCTCATTAAATGTCATTAGCACTGCTCCTTCAGCCCAGTCCTTGGATTGATTTGGGATAACCCAGCTCACATTCAATGTGAACAGGAATAAATGGACTAATCTTGATTTTCTCATACACAGAAGAACTTCCAGATTTCACATTCATAGCAGCAGAACAAAAACCTCTTTAATAGAATGCACAAAAATAAGATTGACCCAAAGAGCTTCACTCAAAACCACCTGAGAGAGGTTCCCAGACAGAGAAGGTGGCAGGAGGATGTCACTGTGTGACCACAGTGCAGAGTTCTCTGGGCTGTGACAGCCTCAGGCAACAGCACTTGGGTCAACTTCCACAAGGGCCCAGGACTGTGCTCTCAAAGGAAAATAAAAACCCTTTTTGCTGAGATTCTCTGAGCACCTTCAGAATCAGGGCTTCAGAGGGAATTTATCTGCTCAAAGCTGGAGAACAAGGAGGAATTCCAGCCCCACGTCCCAGGCAGCTGCAGCCTCTGCTGTGGGCTCAGCCCTGCAATTCAAACAGCTGAGGGCACAGAGCAGAGCAGAACCTCTGCTCTGTCACTGCTGCATGGCTGAAATGTGGGAATCACTGCACCCAAACACCTGCACACCTTCCCCTGCCACACCTTCCTGCAGCTCCTCTGCTCTGCAGACACTGAATTTCTCTCTCTCTCTTAAGCACAGGATATGACAAGCCAGGAAAGGCTGAATTTAAAGACAGAGCCCTTTTTGCAGAAAATAACCCCAAAGCAGCACAATTAGCAGCTCATTCCAGGAATCAGGGCCTCCTGAGGATGGAAACCTCCCTGCTGGGGTGGCAAGCTGACCTTGTAGGAGAAGGAGTCTGTGTGTGGCTGCACAGAAACTGCTGCTGTGGCCAACGGGAGCTGCTGGAGCTGCACACTGGGGCTGTTTCCTCCTTCCATTTTGGGGTTTTTTCTTTACTTTTCAGCTTTCTTGATGCTGGAAGTTCTCTTTAAAGAAGAGTCTTGGACCCTGCTGGAACCAACTTTTGGTACCGCTCGCTGCCATCCATCCTGGTCCCTTGGGCAAGTTCAGGGAAGCACAAACCAGTCCTGCCTCCCTTCCCCTGCCCTGGCTCAGGGTGGCCACCACAGGCACGAAGGGGGGTAGATGAGCACAGCTTCCAGCCACTCACTGAAGGAGCAGGGTTATGTTCCTTCAAGATGAATCTAAGGGGAAAAAAAAATAAATAAAACCCAAAGAATTAGATCAAATTCAAAAACCTGCAATGAAGGATAAGCCACAGAAACGCCCCTGGAATCAAACTCACTGCTGCACATAAAAAAGAAAAGCAGATTTTAAATGTCTTAGAAAGCCTTGGACAGAAACTCACAGAGACTTCAAGCTGTCTCTCAAGAGCTTCCCAAGCTCTTGTGAACTGGCTGGGCCCCAGGGGTGACACACTCCGCTGGCATTTGACAGCATCACAAAGGCTCTCAAGTCCTCAAGCTCTGCTTTTCACGTCCCTCCTCCCCGAAGCTCCAGTTTGTTGGGGAGCAGCGCTCCGTGAGTCAGCCCATGCCCCGGTGCAAGGGCAGAGCCAGCCCGGGCAGCCCTGCCCGCAGCCCGCCTTCCTCCGAGCCCAGCTCCCCGGGGAGCGGCAGCATCCCCCCGCCCGGAGCGAGCGGGTCCGCCGGGGTGCGACCGTCCCCGGCCACCGCCCGTGTCACCGCCCGCGGCAGCGGCACCGGCCCGAGCCTCCCCTGGGCACCCCCAGCCGTGGCAGGGCAAAGCCGCCCCAGTGTGAGGGGACGGGGCAGCAAATCCCGCTCCCACCGCCAGCGACCCTGCCCGGGCAGCGCAGAGCGCCCGCACACCCCCGGGCCGGGACCCTCCGGTGCGCCGGCCCCGCGCCTGCCCCTCGGGGCGGCCCCGGCACTCACCGGCCCCGCCGCTGCCCCCGGCCCAGCCCCGGCCTCCGGCTCCCGGTCGAGCGCCGCGGCCGCTTCCTGCCCGGCGCATCCGATTGGTCTCCAGAGCTGTCAATCAAAGACCAGGCCCCAATATGCGGGCGAGGATTGGCTGTCGTGCGGAGGTGGGGTCTGGTCCAGCCTATGGGCGCAGGGCTCTGAGGGGCCGGGCGGAAGAAGCCGCGTTCCGCCGCTCGGTTGGGGCGGGATGAGGCGGTCCCGCGGGCCCCGCCCGGTGCTCCGGGGCGCTCCCCGGCCCAAAGCTGCAGGGACAGCCGCAGCCTCGCGCCTTCTCCCGCTTTGCCCCGGTGGTACCCGTTCCTCCCGCCCTCCCCGTGGCGCGAATAGCAGCCGGAGCCACCTTAAAGTGCATGCGCAAAGCGCTCCCGCCGACCCACCTTAAAGCAGCCGCTGTGGCGCTGAGAGCTCGCCTGTGATTGGGTGCCTGCGGCAGCGCTCAGAGTAACAGGCACGGTGATTGGAGGAGAGATGAGGCGGCTGTTGTCTCGGCAACCGGGTGTCCACATTCCCGGTGCCGCCGAGGGCCGGGGCGGAACGGGCAGGTACGGGCAGGAACGGGCGGACACAGACCGCACACCGCCCCTGAGCAGGGTCGGGGACCTCCCCGGTGCCCCCCGCGCCGCCTCAGCAGCTCAGGTACCCACCCGTCGTTCCCAGCGCGCCCCGCGCGGCCTCACCTGGGCGGGGCTGGGGCGTGAGGCGACTTCCGGTGGCGCCTCCAGGTGAAGCCTGAGGCGAGGCCCCGGAGGGCGCCGCCTCAGGGCCTCACCTCATCCCTCACCTGGGCTCCCCGAGCCATCGCCCCGAGCGCCGGGTTCTCTCTCTGGAGACAGCAGAGGCCATGGCTGAGCTGGGCCAGCTCTGCAGCCTCGGCCCTGCTGCGCGTTCGGAGCCGGGACCGAGCTTAGAAACAAAATCCCGGCTCTGGCCTGAGTGGTGACGCTGGACGTGTGGGCTGTGACCGGATCCCGCCTTTCCAGCTCAGGGATACACGAGGTACCTGTGGCAGAGCAGCAGCACTCGGGGCCATGTCCTGCAAATAAACAGCACTTAGCACAGTGAGTGCAGGGCTGAAGGGAGAAAACATCAACCACGGCAAGGTTTTCCACTCAAAGCACAACCAGGCTTCATTTCTGGAGCAAATCAAAGGGTATCTGGAATTATTTGTAGTCACAGTGGGTTAAAAGAGTTCCAGGCCCAGCATTCTTCCTCTTGGGGATAAACCAGCACAAGGGAATAAGAAATGCAATCAAAGAAAACATTCATCAACAGCAATGCTTCCAAGGGTATTTTTAAATAAACCAGGGAAATGAAATGCAGGAGTGACTGCTGGTTTTCTGGCAGGAATACTGCATTAATGTTGGATTTGCCTTTATCTCACACATCCCATTTCAAAGGAGAGCTGCTGTTGTGTTCACATCTTTCCTCCATCTCCTTATTCAGTGTTGTTATCCTTGGCTGCTCTTCTTAGGTTTCAAGATTTCCTTATAAACACCACAGGAAAGGGATCTCAAACTGGGGGAAAAAAAAGAGATTTCAGTCTCAATGAAAGAGATTTCATTATAACCAGGTGAGTAACAAAAATGTTTGACGTTTATGAGGGATTTTATTTGCCACTGATAATGATCCCGATCTGCGACAAAAACAGCAACCAAATTTAGATCAGGGTCATTAAATTAACTTTATAATCACGACTGATAACAGTAGGAGAAATTCCAATGCAGCATGAGTGGATTAGGCCTGGAAATGGCTGCAGGTGGATGCTGTCACTGCTGCCACCTCCCTGTGTCCCCAGCAGCGCTGCCCTGTTTGTCCCTGTTTGTGTGTGAGCCCTGCAGGACGCACACCTTGCCTTTCCTTGTGCGGGGACACCGCCAGGGTGACTGCTGTCCCCGCTTGCTGCCCTTCGGCGGATGCCAGGTTTCAGGAATTCCCTCTGCTCCCACCAGCAGAGGGAAGCAGAAGGATGCGTTAAAGCCGCAGCGCTTTCCCAGCCGGCGCTCGCGGGTGCCAAGGGCCTCCTGGGCTTTCTGCATGCAGCTTCCCAGCCGCTTCCTCCGCTGGGGGAAGGAGGAATCCCTTCCACAGCCTCCCGCTGTCTGGGGACTACGTGGTAACCCCAGAACTCCCAAAATTACGTACAGGAAGGATTTCTGAAACTCGGTACCCGGTATGTAAAGCAGGTAAATCAAGGAAGTGTTTGGCATCTTCCACTCTTTCTTCTCCTGCCTTTAGCATCTTCTCTTTCTTCTCCTTCCTTTGATCTCTTGCTCCTTGCTTGTCACTCCCATCTCAGTGATATCAGGAGTGCATTATCTCAGGGTTGAATAACAGCAATCAAGGACGTAAAGGACAAAAAAAAAAAAAAAAGGGGAAAATGATCAAGGTGGAGAAATTGCTTAAAGACTTTCTGTAGGCGCCATCAGTCTGCCTGGTCAGCTTCCAGCAGAGCCAGCTGACCTGCTGCTGAGCTGTGACTAAAGCAGGGCAGGCAGAGTCTGCAGGGAGCTTCTCCAAGCACTCCCTTCCCTTTGAGAATTTCCTGCTTGAAGGGCAGAGTGGGCAGCAGGCCAAACCACAAACTACACAAGGGCTTGGCTGCTTCTCTCCTAGGCTTTATCCCTGGAGAAGAGTTCCTGCAGCAGGTCAGGAGGGGAGGCACTGGTCCCATCAACACCAGGCCTTTTTGGGGGCTGCTGACTTGTTTCCCCCACCTGAAGGACTTGGCTGTGTCCCCCTCAGCCATTGTGGAGCACATTCCTTGAGTCAGGGATAAATGCCAGGACAGGAAGTTACCCACTTGTAATTTAGGCAGTGGAAAGAGCTTATTTGTCTCTCAGTGCCTGACCTAGAACACCCAAGAGGTGACTTGACCCACTTGTGTCACTGTGCCACTTCACCCCTGCCTGCACACATCCCTGCAGGAGCCAGGCACTGGGAGCTGCTGCTGCTGGGTTTCCCTGGCAGCACCGTGCCCCTTGCATCACCCAAACACAATTGCTGGCACTCTGAGGCATGCAGGAGCTGAATCTCCCAGGGTGTGGAGGTGCCTGATCTCCAGTTACCCTCAGCAGCAGTGGAGTGATGATGATGTGCCAAACCCAGAGCTGGATGCACAGAGGGGAGAAGGGCTCCGGAGCCTTTCCCCAGCACGTGCTGTCCTGGCAGGAATCAGGAACGTGCTGCCCAGCAGGAGCTGCCCTGGCTGGGCAGGGATTGCATCCAGCCCTCCAGGCTGGGCAGCAGCAGCCAAGCCTGGCAGCACAAAGGCAGAAGGAGCTTGCAGATGCAGTTTTTTATCAGCTGCTCTGGAAACCTGCTGCAATTTTAATAATTGGCTCCAGCAGAATTGAGCAGGTCCTGCTTCCCTCAGCACAACCCCGCTGGCCACGGAGCACGGGCTGGACAACCTCAAGCACATGGCAGGCCACGTGGAGATGGACCCTGTGGCCAGGGCAGTGCAGGCTCTCTTCTGGTCCTGGTTGTTGGTAAGGAACAGCTGGCTCAGGATCCTGCTCCCTGCAGATGAACCCTCAGACCACATCTTCAGAAATCTCCTGTTACTTTGGAGCAGCCCAAGTCAGCAGCTCTGCTGAAATTATGGAGTTGCAGCACACTCCTCAAATTTTGGTCTGTCCTGAAGCGTTTTCCTACAAAGAAAAATAAGTTGAAAAGATGATTTGTGCTCACCTGCTTGATAACTCAGGGGGCATTTTTACAGGAAAGGCTGAATCCACCAGAAGACTGATTCCTTGGGGTCTGATTCCTTGCAAAGCTCTCCCAGTTTTCATGGCATGGCCCATATTTGGGGTTTGTTATTTTTAGCACCATAGTAGCACCGTTCCACTTGTCCGTGCATGCAGCCAGGAACAGCTCAGCTGAGGAGAAAGAGCAGGAGGAGTTCCCTGTGATCTCACTGTAAATCAGCACCCTCTGCAGCAGCCAGCACTGCCTGCCCACTCCCTGCCACTCTTCCCCTGAGCCTTTTGTAAGGCCAAGCAGAGCAGGAGCCTCCATTCCCCTCCCAGCCATTCCTGGTTGTTCCTTGAGGGGTTTGAGTCATTCCAGGGTTGCTGCTGCTGTGGCCAAGCACAGGTTCCATCTGGATGGGGTTTTTAATCAGCCCTTGGCTCATCCATTCCCCTTCTTTGAGCTTGGCTTCTTCCCTGCTCCTTCTTGCTCCTGCCAAACACAGTTAAACCCCATCATCCTCATGTCTGCATGAGTGCAGTTATGTCCCAACTGCTTCGTTTGCCCCTCAGCTGCCATTGTCTCATTCTTCAGTCCCAGGCCTTCCCCTGTGCTCTGCCTCCTGTGCCATCTGGGGAGGGGACATCAGATCACTGCCAGAATCCAGCTCTCAGGTCACCAGAACGGAACCAAGGCCGCTCCAGAGTGTTTTCCATTGGTAATTGGCAGACAAGACAATTAATGAAGTTCACACAATGTTCCTAAAGACCAGGAACTTCAGCTCTTCCCATCCTACGCACTGGAATAATTTCACATTTGTGTTAGTATAAAGCTCTTCTTTTATCTTCTATGGTTCCAGACCTTCCAATTGCCACTGGGATTGGCAAAGTAGGACATGAAGGGCACTCAGCCTTCCTGGGACCACATCTGAAAAGCTGGAGGGATCACGTACAACACAGGCAGGGCTGGATTTATTTGGCTCTATAAATAGAATCCTGCCCAGTCCTCTTTTTGAAAAGCCCAGGAAAAGAAGGGAGGCAGGAAAGGTGTGGTACTGCAAATAAAGCATTCTGCCCACATGCTGCATTAATTAGGCCCAGCTCAGAAGTTACAGGTGGGATTTTAGATGTGCTGTGGCTCCCAGTCTATACAAATTGCCCTGTAGACAGCAGAGAAATTTGATCTTCCTCATCCCCAGAATCACTCAGCTTTCCATGCAACAGGAGGCTTGCATTAAAGGATGAAAATTTTGAAACTGTGAAGGCACCTACCTCGATGCACAGTTAAAATTAAAGCATGAAATTTGTGTGACTTGGAAAGCAAGACAGGAAATACAATAATACCAGCAGTGGTGGGTCTGGTTCTGGCCACCCTAACTCTAAAAAAGGCACTGGCAGGTGACAGCTGGTGGCACTGCTGGGCTCAGGGAGTGCAGGGTCTCACCTGGTGGCACTGCTGGGGAGCTGTGTCAGTTCCTGCAGCTCAGCACCTGCCTTCAGGTTGAGTTCCTCAAGTCCTGCTGATTCACCCTTGTGCAAGTCACTTAACTGTTCTGTGCCTGCTGCCCAGCCCTGCAGGTGCCCAGGCTGCACAGGGTGTTGTAAGGGCTCATCCACAGGAATTCAGGGTGTTTGGAGATGTGGGAGCTGTTAACAGAACTCCGAGTGTCATTAGCCATTATCAGATGTTTGTAATAACATACACACACCTCCTGGGCTGCTTTGTCCCTGGTGTGGTGTCTTGCTGTAGCTCTGATTGCTTTAGGATTTTGTTATTTCTAGAGGGAGTTTTTGAGTTTTTCCCCAGTTTTGAGGCATTCCCCAGTGAGCTGTCCCCTCTCTCAGTGCTCCTGGAGCAGCCCCATCCCCTGTGCTGAGGCACGCTCCGGAATATGCGATGACTTCGCAGAGCTGCTTAACACCGACTGAACACACAACTTAATCAGCTTAATAAGCTGCCACTCATCAGCTGAGACACCTTAACTGCCTGCAAGCACGTTCCTGAAGCAATTCATGCTTTTATAGTCGCTTGATGGTGTTTCTACATCAGCAGAGGTGTTTTCCCTCCCAGTCTGGGTGTGCAGAGAGCCCACGGAGCGGTGCCGGGCTCAGCTGCCCCAGTGCTGCTCCCTCCCAGCCCCTGCTCTGGGACTCTGAACTCTGCTGCAGTGACTCAGGCTGAGCACCTGCCCCAGCATGTTCTGTGTTGATTAAACTGGTTTGCAGGCCATAATTATTTTCTCTATCATGGTATAATGGCTCCGCATCGTATTAATTTTAACATTGTAAGAATTTGCTTCTGGGAACGGCCTTCTTGAATTAATCACTGACTCATGATTTACTGGGGGAGATAATATCTAACCTACAAGAGGCAGAACAGGAAACTATCTATTTAAAAGATGGCAGTGGCTGATAATTTATGACTATAGACAAAGAGATATCTCAGAAGAAGAAGGTGGACAGATCCTGCAGTTTCGTGGTCACTGCTCTCACTCAGCAAAAAGGAACTTTTGTGTAGTCACTGGAGGATCTGTTTTTGAGTGACAGATTAAAATTGAGAGGGAAAAAAAGGAGTGAGAAACAAGGAAAAAGTGTCACAACAGACCTCAAAGCCATCCTCAGCTCTGGGACCAAACCCTGTGTTACAACAAAGGCAGTTCAACATCTCAGCATGTCACCAGCTTGCCATAGGAAACAAGAAAAAAAAAAAAGCTAAAAAGCATCACCATTTTGTGTCTGAATCTGTAATACAGGAGTTTTCTTGCCCCTCTCCTCTCCAGCTTGAACTGGACACTCCCACATCACTGATGAGGCCTGGCCATCAGATGTTTCCTCTCATCACAGTTCATTAGCAAAGTCAAGCTGAGAGTCAACAATAAAAGCTTTAAATCCCAGAGGAGGCTGCAGGAGGTAAAGCTTCATCCTGGCAATCTGAAGGATTTTGTCCCATGTCACTGTGATCTGTTCTGTGATTTGGGGTAACACACAACCCTTGGCACCACAGATTCCTGAAATTCCCTCTCCTGGAACTCTGGGGCCCTGAACAAAATCAGACACGTGGAGCTGGTGGAGGATTGTGGACACAGCAGCCACACACACAGACATTTCCTGCCGGAGTGTCAAGTCCTGGGCAGTCACAGAGAGCTCTTCCTACCCTTGGGAAGCTCCCCCAGATTTTGGTGTGAGTGCTGCTGGCAGCTGTAACCACTCACAGGGAGACATCTGCCTTTGAAATGTGGGTTTGCCTTTACTGGTCATCACCTACAGGTAAAGGCAATTCAAAGGCATCCCCAAGCCCTTTTTCCTTCTGAAACTCACCATTTCTGCAAGCAAAGCAATACCACTTTTGCCCTGGCAGTGTCTGAGGCCCAAACCACAAGAGGATTTAATTTGGAAACATTTGGGAAATGGCTTTCTCCATGTCTGTGGGCCTGGAGCTGGGAGGGAGGATGGTGCTGCTGCCCCGGGGAGCACCTGCACACACAGATCCAGAGCTCCTCAGGGCATTTGGGATGAAGTGTCACAGGACACTGGGAAGGTCCCTTTGAACCTCTGCTGGGAGAACCATCCAGAAACCACCCTGGGACTTTGGGGTAGCTGCAAGGAATCACCAGAACACCCCACAACACTGGAAATGCCACAGACTTCAGGAGAAGCCACATTGGTGCATAATGTACCAAGCTTCAAAGGATCTCCTGGCCCTTTGCCTGCTGAGGGTGAGGGCACAGAGTTTATCTGGCAGCTGACAGCAGCTGGGAGCTCTCCTGTTGATTGCCTGAAGTTGCTAATGGTGCTTTTGTTCCTGGGCTCAGGACTGAGTTCAGTGTTGCCTTATCAGTGTCCCTGGAAATCAGCTCTGCCCAGCACTTTTCCAGTCCAGCAGCAGCCTCCCCACACGCTCCTGTCACACCGGTTCTTTTCCTTTTCCATTCCCTGCTGGATGCACTCTCCTTCCTCAGTGCCTGGGCTGCTATTTACATCCCTTTCCTGTTTGTCTTGTAGGTCATCCCAACATGGATTCCCTCACCAAGGGAATAACAACATCTTCCTTCCAGTCAAACACTTCCCACCTAACAAGGAACAAGGAATTTATGCCAGGTTTGTTCCAGAATCTGCAGCCTCAGCCACACAAACCCACCAGGGAAGCAAAGAAAACTCCTTCCAGGTGAGTGCAGCCTGGAAGACACCCCACTGCCATGGGATACATGAAAATCCATCACAGGAGGGTGATCCCAGAGTGTCCCCCTGTGTCCTGGTCCAAAGGGGATGGCTGTTGTCCCCAGGAAGTGCCTGGAAGGGCAGTGTGGGTTGGGAACAGCCTGGAGCAGTGGATCAGGGGCCCTTTATCAGCTGATCTCCCAGACATTTACAAACAGTAATTAAACCTGCACCACCCTGGGATGTGGGGGCCACTTCTTATCCCCATTGCATGGAGCAAGAAGCCAGAGCACACCTGACCTGGAAAAAGATTCCTCACATCCCCCTAAAGCAGAGGCTTTAGGCTGGGCTGGTTTTGTGCCCGAGCTCTCCCCAGAGGAACACTGAGGATAAAGACCCAAACGTGGGGACCCCGGGGGCAGGAATGGTGAGGGACACTCACCATGGATAAAAGCTGGCCATTTCCCCTGCTGGGCTGGGAATGAGGGCTGGAGAGAGGCTTGTAAAAATGCTTCCAGGAAACCAGAACTGCCAACCCCAGCTATTCCATCCTGCCACCACTTCAGAGGGATGAAAAGGCATGAACAGAAACTCCCTTCTCCCAAAGCCTCCCACCCCTTGGGATCCTCATGGGAAGACAAATAAATCCATCAGCAGATGGTTCAAAAACATTTATTGTCACCACACAGTGACGTTGCAGGCCTGAGATTAAGATCATCAATAAATTCCTGACCGTGGAAAAGAATGAGCCCATGAGAAAGCCCAGGGCTCTCCTTACCCAGCAGGGAAATCTTTACTACATCTCTCAGCAGCTGGATCTTCTATCAGGGGTTTGGGGAAAAGGAAGCTGGGAGGGAAGCAATGCCAGGAGGGATTTGATAAGGACAGAGGGCTGGAGGAAAGGGCAAATTAAATATGAGGAGGGAAGATCTCCAGCCTGTTATCAGAAAACAACACAAACACTCCACACCCAGCTGCCAGGGTTAGAGCCTGCTCCCTCTGCTGTCCCAGGCAGTGGCAGAGCAGGAGGACTCCCAGCTGGGTCTTCGGCATCCCTGTCCTGTTCCAGCACTGTCTGGAGAGGGAGCAGCCGGGTCTCTACCATGGCAAATCCATGATTTTTACAATAAACATCACAGGCTGTCCATAGCCCTTCCCAAAGCTCTTCTTTTCCCAAAGAGTTTGGCTTAGAAGGATTAAGCATCACCCTGAAGGCCACACAGCAGCTCTGGAGTCCTCACTACCTGCTCCTTGTCCAGCTTGGCTTGTTCATATTTTACAATATTATTTTTAAAAGTAAGGTTGAAAAAATAAAAGCATGTTTGCAGTGTAAAGGCCATTAAAGCATCACTGACTGTCAGGGCTTTGGACAAACAGGTTCTGTGAGTTGTGTGTGTGTAAAACTCACATCACTGACTGTTGGTACAACACATTCCAGCTGCAGAATTCCTCTCTTTGATGGGAAGAGGGGAGCACAGGGTGGGGGCAGAGAGCAGCCTCAGAACCCCCAGCACCCCTTTGCTCTGGCTTCACCAGAGCCTTCCTCACCCAAAGCTGAGTGAAACGGGAGAAGAAACACATCCTGTAGCTTGGAGTCAGGAAATGCCTGGGGAAGCAGGAGGAGGGACCCACCTCAGAGAGGAACGGGTTAAACACAGCCCCCTGGCAGAGCAGAGCTGGATGCCGACCCTGGCAGCAGCACTGCTGAGGCAGAGGCAGAGCAGCCACAAACCCATCCCTGGTCACTCGTTCCCTGGCTGGGCCCATCCGGGCTGGAGGCAGAGCCCCCGCGTGGGATCCCTCCGTGCCCGTCGGCTCGTTGTTGTCAGGCTCAGCTAACATTAATGTTTCAGTTATTCACACTCACTTCTTGCCCTGTTTATCCCTTCTAAGAACCCCAGGTCTGCTTTTCTTCAGTCTTTTATGCCATGTGGCTCAGCAACCCTGCAATGCCACACCAGCGCATGAACTCAGAGCTGCTCCGGGCTGTGCCCCAAAGAGCAGAGCTACACGGAGGCAAAATCACCATTCAGTCAGTCAGGGGCTGACACAGAGCAGCAGCTTTACCAAAGGCTGGTTATTCAGCAGTTCATGCCTGGGCTCAGCATTCCCAGGACTCCCAGCCAAGCCAAGCAAACCTTCAGCTCACTGGGGCAAATCCCAAGTCTGTGAGCACTGAGCTTGGATTCTGTGGCCACTTTCCAGCTGATGATTCCAGGACATTCCCACAGCTCTGGGGGTTCTAGTGCCCAACTCACCTAAAATTTAATTCTATAAACCCAAGGCACTACCTGAGGAAATAAATGAGAGCTGGGAGAACCCTGAGCAGGTTTATTAAAGCTTTGCACACTTACAAACAGATGCAGGCAGGGTTTGACTTCCCTGACTTAAATCCTCTCCTCCCATGCCCAGCACACAGCAGGGCACCTCCGGACAGGCGCGTGGGTGTCCTAACAAAACACAGGATGCTGTTTTTCCTTCACAGCCTGCAGAGCCACACCACACACCGAGCTCCTCAGCTGCCTGCCTGATGATGCAAGCAGTGAATAAGCACGAATAAAGACACAGAAACTGGGTGTTGTTTGTAGAAGTGAGGAGCAGAGCCCTCCACCCAGCACTGGGGATACCAGAGCTCTTGCACAACTCAGCTCTCAGCCTGCTGCTCCTCTTCATGCATCTCTGTCTCTGTGGGCACTTTTTCACCAGGAGCACTGGGGAAGTTTTCCTTCCTCCCCAGCTGGGATGCCAGAGTGGGATTCCTGCGTCAGGATTTCCCTCAGACTCTGCACACCATGAGCAGGCCTGTGCTGGCCTGCCAGGGCTGGCTCACGGGCAGCTAATTAGTGGTACTGAGTTCTAAGAATTGGAAGATGATCATTAACTAAAATTGGTTTGAAAGCTTCCAGTTTTGTAGAGGCTGAGTAATTAAAACAAGCAATGGGCTCCTCTGTGTTTTCCTGAGAACTCCCAGTGCTGGAGGCTGGGGAGTCACCCTGGAGGGGACCCAGTCCTGACCAGGGTGGGAATGAGGGAGAAGGGCAGGGGGCAGGTGCTGCTGGCCCAGGGACGGGCACTGGGGTCTGTCACACCCCCTGTGGCACCCGCAGCCCCCAGAGCAGCTCAGTGAGCACAAAGCAGGGCCCGGGCAGCTCCCGAGGGAGCCCTGTGCCAACAGCCGCTGCTTTCACACGACCTTCGGTGCTCGGGGTGAAAATCGCCTTCATCGCTCCTATCTCAATCTTCAAAAGGAACTGGTGGGCTCCGGGCAAGGAGTCAGGAATGCTCTCACATATTTGGGAGCTCTGCTTTACGCAACCTCCAGCAACTCGCCTTGGCTGGAAGGGATGAGCGATACTGAGCCAGTCAGCAAAACACCCACCTGGCCGGGCAGGGCTGGGGACTCTCCCCGGCAGCGTTTCCCTGCACGCAGCCGGCACCGGGACTCCAGCCCGGCACAGGCAGGACTTACCCAGGCAGGACTTACCCAGAGCTGCACGGAGCCTCTGCCTCCATCCCACCCCGGGGGAGTCACTCTCACAGCGCACTCAGGGAGCTGCGGCCAGCTGGGTCTCGCCCTGCAAAACCCTGGATGGGTTTGTGGGAAAGGGAGCCCCATAACCCAGAAAAATTCATCTTTGTTCTGCTGGCAACATAAAGTTACAACTGAGATGGCTTTTGCTGTTGTAAATCAGGAGTAGTGCTGCTGGAGGAACTGAGGCTCAGATGGGTAAATGTTTGTCTGGCAGGAAAATCAGACTTTCAGAGCAACTCATTGAGGGGTGAGAGGTCCCCAAACCCCCCAACTCTGCGTGCACACAACAGCCCAGGGCTGCCTGCAGCCCTCCCCATCTGTCTGCACAGCACAGCCAACTGTCCCCGCTGCCAGGGCTCCCTCTGTCCCTGCCTGAGCAGCTTCTGCTTGTCCCCATGGCCGGCAGGACAGGGCCACCCTGGCTGGGAGCACCTGGAGCCAGTCCTGCCACGGAGCTGTCCCAGAGCAGGGCCCTGACACAGCAGGGCACGGGGACCTGCAGCTTTCAGCTGGTGACACTGAGCACTGCGGGATTCCTGGTGGGACTGGTTTTAACTGGAGCTGAAATTCTGCTGCAGGAGGACTCACAGAATCAACACTGATTCAGAGGCATCCTGCTGAAGAAGGAGTTTGTGATCTGAAGGGAAGGAGTGCTGGGGAGATCCCAAAGGCTGATAAACCTTCAGCTTATCTGTGCTTCATCTCAGAGGCCATCCTCAAACAGTACTGAAGTAATCCAAAACTCACCAAGCTGACACATTCCAACATTTCCAAATCCTCTTCCCAGGGCTCTTTCCTCCCCACTCACAGGCCTCAGGTACAACTTTAACATGGCCAGGAAAAGCAGAGGATGAAGAAGAGGGAGGAGGAAAGGCCCTGCTTTTCATTGGTCAGAGGATTAATTAGAAAATACAGGGCTCCCCTTGGCACCTGATGATCTAAATGGGAAGCAGCTTGAGGCAGTTTGAGCACAGCGCAGGAGTTCAGGGACCCAGTCACACCTGGTGACACAGCTGCACACGGTGGCTGCAGAGGGGACAGACCTTGGCCAAAGCCATCCTCGAGCCCTTTTGGTGCCTCTGGGGTCACCTCCCTGCCCTGGCTCCTGGGCAGCCCATCCCAACTCTGACTCCAGAGCTGGGGGAAACGGTTCATTTTCAGTCCTTGAGCCTTTATTACTACAGAATATCCAAAACAACACAACCAACAACACAGTTACAAAAGGAGTTCACGGAGAAATGTGAAGCAGCCTGTGTTTGAAATGCTCTGTGTCACCATACTGAGTCCAGTATAAAACAATGCATATTTATACACATATAAAATACAAAAGGAACAACACAGAAATGTATAAACAGGGGTTGTGGAGGCCTCTGTGGTATTTACAGTCAGAGATGTGGCAGGGAGGGTGTTCAGCAGGCAGTGTCCGTTCAGCAGGAGCTGTGGCTGCAGCTGGGAGAGTCTCTGTGCCAGAGAGGAGCTCAGAGCCAGGCTCAGCCCTGCTGGGAAAGCTCTGCAGGGTCTGTGGAGAGGCCAAGGCCTGGGCTGGCATCAGTCACTGCCAGGGCCACCAGCTCTGCTCTCTGCCCAGGCCTGGCAGTGTCACTTGGTGTGCCCAGCTCAGGCCCGGTGCCACAAGGGAATAAAATATAATAAAAAATAATAATAATAATAATAATAAACTCAACAGAGCCAAGTTCCACGTTCACAGGATGATCTCACAGCAGTCTGTGGCCCGGCCCCGGGGCCGTGGGGGTTCAAGTCAAGGCAACAAGAGCGGGCACAAGGCTGAGTTCTGTGGGGTCACACGTGCCAGCTCGGAGAGAAGTGCCAGGAAGTGCTGCCTGCAGCTCTTTAGAGCTCTTTGAGGATGATCTGGAACTTGTTCTCTGCCTCTACCATGTCCAGCAGAAAGGCCATGTGGTTGCTGTAGTGCTGGATGATGTTGTTGTCCATGTTCACCAGGATCCTACAGAGAACAACAATGGCTGGATCAGATGCAGCACACTGAAAGCAGTTCACTTTCCCCAGTCTGAGGGGCTCAACCACTGTTAATGAATGAATTAATTAATTAAAGCCATGGCACAACACAAGAGAAGACCCAGCACAGAACAGTCCCCAGCCCTGGGAGCTCTGTCATGGCACAGTCAGGAATTCCAGGGGGCTGCTGGGACTGGGGCTCTGGCACTGCAGGGTCTGGCACTGCATGGGAATCTTCCCAGCACCACCCCAAGCCCTGGATCCCAGCCCTGGCCTCCAGCAGGTGCCCCACAGAGACTCAGTGAGTCCCCAAAAGCTTCCCCAGCAGAGCTGATCCCTTCATCTCTGCCTGTCTCAGAGCAGGGAGCCACAGAAGTCACCTGTGCCTCTTGTGCTGTGCTCCCATCTGATCTCTAAACCACAAACGATCCCAGGGGTGTTGATCAGGAATCAGCCCTGGATTGTTCCTCCAGACCAAACCTCACCAAGATCCAAAATTGCTCATTATTGCTCCTGAGTCACCCTGGGACCGAGTTCATCTGCTGAGCTCACCCCCGTGGAAGGGCCATGGCTGGGGCAGGCCCTGCCCTGCTGCCAGGCCAGGCAGTCCCACTGAGCTCCTCTGGCTCTCAGCAGATGAAGATCTGCCCCTCGAGCTGTAATTACCAGGAGAAGATTGTTTAGGGTGGAGCAATAGGATAAAATTGTTGAAAATTAAATCTGGGGGAGCAGGAAGCTGGGCCTGACCCTGCCACCAGCCAGAGTGCAGCTATCTCCCATCTCCCACACTTCAGAAGTAGCTGCTGGCATGGGTCACGTCCAGCCTTCCTTAAACCAGGTGTCAAAATTATTTATTTAATCTAATTTCCAGGCGTGGCCTTTCCTTTTCATGAGATACCTCTTTGCTCCTCCTGCCTGGTTTCCCTCCCAGTCATCACCAAACACTCACTGCTTATCAGATCAAGGATGAACAAAACCAAAGCCAAGCTGAGTGAGGTGGCCTCTCCCCTGAAGCCACCAGTGCTGGTCTTTTCCTTTGGGGAGAAAATTCCCGTTTCTGGGGATGAGCAGCATCAGCAACAGGTGGAAGAACTCCTGACAAGTTCAGATGCTCACTATGGGCCCACCCTTCATCCTGAGCCAGGGACATTCCAGCATTTTTTGGAGAAGCAAACACTGATCCCTCTCTGATAAGTTCTCCATAACCTCAGGCTCTCAGACTGAGACACAAAGGATCACCACCAGACTCCCCAAACAATTCCACCTTCACCCAACTTCCTTTCCTTGGGAGACTTTACCCTCCAAACAAATATAATACAAATAAGCATTATCCCAAATCTTTAAAGCCCAGAAAGAGCTGAGTTTTATATGCTCCAAATAGCAGAGCCTGACATGGCTCTACCTTTTATTATCTTGTTAAAATGCTCTTGGAGCCAATGGCAGGGGCTGGAGAGGACAGGTTTGGAGGCACAGCATAAAAGCAGATGAGAGATTAGCTTACCCTCTTTTGCACTTTTTGTAGACTTTATAAATGCTTTCTTCAGGAAGCCCATACTTTTCTGAAATCTGTGAGAGAAAACATGGCAATTCCTTGTACTCGTAAAGTGAAATTCCCATGATAAAAATCAAAGATAACAGCGAGCCAGGGTGCTCAGCAGCAAAGGATTCCCCCTCAGTTTTACTGCAGAGAACAAAACCATGGCCTCAACATTCTCCTGGGCAAATTCAGTTTCGGTCTTGGGGTGGCAGGAGGTTTGTAGGTTTTTGCCAAGCATTTTCCATGAAAGTTTTTGACTCTCTGTGATGAGGGATGGGGGAAGGAGAAGATGGCAAAGAATGCTCTGTGTTGACATTTTTCAAACAGCCTATTTTTAAAAGTTTGTAAAACCAACAGAGCTTAGAGTGCAGCTATAAAGCCACCCCAAATCTGGGAGGTTTATTGTTTGTTTCCTTCCCAGCAGTCTCCAGAGAGGGCTGGGCTATCAGAGATGCTGCTGATAACCATGACACAAATATGTCCTTGTGCTCCTCAAACACAGCCAGGGAATTCCAGCACGAGGCCAGGGAGAGTTTCAGATCACACATCTCCAGCCTGGAGAATGGAAAAGGTGTTTGACAGTGGAAAATATGAGTGTGCTGTGCCAAGAGGAGACTTCCATGAGGATCTGGATGGGGCAGGAGGTGTGATCCTCCCTCTGCAGCACAACACAGCCACGCCAGGAGCTCTTGGGACAACGCAGCTCCTGCTCCCACTTCCACTTCCATTCCCCAGGGAGAGCAGGCAGGAGAGATGAGCAGCCCATTCCACTCCCCGTTCACCACCCCCATTCCCTTTTATCTGCAGTTTGTCCATTCCCCAGGGGCTCTGGGGACACTCACAGCTGTCCTGAGGCCCTGCAGATCCGGGGTCTTCAACATGAGAGCATCGAACACCTCCTCGGACTCCCTGCGCACGTAGAGCAGCACTGCAAGAGAGCAGGGCACGGTCAGGCTGCTGCCAGGGCTGCCAGAGCCCCGTGCCTCGTGGAGCTGAGGGTCCCAGCCTCACCTCTCTGGGGGTCTTCGTCCTTGCTCTGCTTTGGGGGCAGCGGGTCGAAGTCATCGGCGAAGGAGGCCCCGCTCCGCTTCAGGGGCAGCCTGGGCCAGGGGACAAACACACTAAGGAGGGACAGCAGGAGCACAAACACACCTGCAGCTCTGCCTGAACAGCCACTTACTCTAACAGACATCCAGCAATGAAGTATTGGTTTGTAATTACAGCAGCACGGTTGTAACTTCCTGCCTAAAGCACAGGGATGCTCAGGGAGCCTCCTGCACCTCCTGTGGGGCACTGGTGTCCCCACACAGAGAGCCCAGGCTGGGGGAGATTCTGCTTTTCAAGTGTGATTCCACTTCATTCCAGTTTATTTGAGCCCTTCAGTGACAGTTGTGATGTTTTATTCTCCCTTTCAGACATTGTCTCCGTGAGAACAACGGGACAATCAGGGAGCAGCTCGTGTTGGAGTGACTCTGACAGGGACAGAAATGTGTCCACGTTTCTGCAGCCCTGAGTCCTTCCAGGACAAGTTTAACTCATATTCTGACTCTCAGGGCATCAGGGAGACACCTGAGCTGTGTTATCCTGCCCTGGGGTATCCAACAGCCCTGACATTCCCAAAGGAGCAGAGCAGCTGATGGGTGGGAAATGCACACTGCTGCATCCTCACCTGTTTGCAGAGTTGGGAACAGCGGGAGGGAGCACCTGGAATGCAAAGAAATGGATCTGTGAGTTTGCACAGCATCACTGTGTGCTAGAATGACTGGGGAGGCAACTGGGGCACACTTTAAACATGATTTCCCTCCTCCTGACCCATCAGTTTTCCCACACAGTTAAACCCAAACATCTGTTTCTTAGATTAAATGAAATTTTATACAAAGAACTTCCCCAGATTCCCCGTTTTTGACAAACTGAGGCAGTGGTTTCTGAGGCAGGGAATGCTGAGGAGCTCTGAAGGACACTGGACAGAGGACAGTGAGGGGATGTCCCACCCACACAGGGACTGAGATGGTCACATTTTGCTATAATTTATTTTCTACTGTTATTTTTGCTCCCACTGCAGTCCCCTGCAGGTGTGTAAGGCACAGGAGCACCTGGCTGGAAGGAGCCTGGCGAGGTTACCTCACCCAGCACTGCTGGGACAGGGACAGGGACTTCAGCTCGGTCCCACAAAGAGCTGGGGTGAGGCTGGGGCTTTCCCCACGAGCCAGCTGCTGTGGGGGCACTGCCCAGCCGGGGAAGGGGGTGCCAGGCCCGAGGCACTCACCGAGCCACACCTCTGGGGGGTGGAGAAGTGCACGTTGGGGATGAAGAGCACGGGCTGCGTCTCCAGGTCGCTCTCGGGCCGCAGGAAGGTGATCTCGTTCCCTCTGAAGCCAGAGAGCAAACAGCCTTTCAGACCTACAGACGGAGAGTGCAGTTCATGTCAGCCCCTCGCTCTGGGAGAGGAGAGCCCCTGCCAAGGCTGCCCAGACACGCTGGGGCAGGACAGGAGCCTGCAGCACCTCCAGGGCAGCCCAGAGCATCCCCAGAGGCTGGAGGAGCTCCTGAGGGGCTCGGGGAGGGGAAGGAGCCCAGCGAGGGCCTGGCTGCTGCTGGGGGCTGAGGGCAGAGGCCTGGGGGCAGCTTTCAGCCAGGGCTTTCAGCAGGGAGCACACACAGGCTCTCACCGTTGTTGTTGGAGTCCAGGCATTTTCCTTTCCTTCGGAACTGTTTCCTTTCATCATCCCTCATTTTCCTCTCTGCTCCCTGTGGGAAGATCCAGCAAAATTTAGGACATTGACATTTCCAACATTGTCAAGAGAGGTTTCGTGGCCACCTCTGGGGTGTGAGGCAGCCTTAACTCAGAGATGGTCACCTCAGGGACCTTCCCCAGCCCAAGGCAGGACTCTCTGACACTCAGAAATTAGAAAAACAAAAATAAAATTTGCTTTTAAAAATGAAACACAGACAAGAATAGCTGTGAGAAATTTTTCCATGGGAAATATCTGAGATTGGGGAAGAACTTCCAAGGAAATTCTCATCTCTTTTGATATTTAACAACTGGTCAAAAGTAGAGTTTATTGTGAGGCACAGTCAGAGGTCTGGGCTGTTTTAGGCTCTCACAGCCTTTCTGGTTTTATTCGTGGGGCCTCTGACCAGCTGGGTTTTTGGAGTGGTGGGAAAGGAGTGCTGTACCTTGTCACAGAAGATCTTGATCTGGCAGACAGCCCTGTGCACCAGCTGGCTGCTGCCGCTGCCGCAGTCGTAGGTGTCGATCTGCAGGTTCAGGGGGACACCCTTCACTCCCTTCTGCGAGGAGAAGTCTGTGCTCAGGCAGTTCACCCCAATAAACACCTGAAACACGAACAGGATTGGAAACCTCCTCCTCAGCCAGCAGTGGGAGCAGGGCAGGGGCAAAAGGGCTCCTCCAGTGCCCCCAGGGCCAGCCTGGCAGGGAGCAGTTGGTTTCCCACCTGAGCCTCTCCCCCCACAGCAATTCCAGCTCTTTAACTCAGCCTCTCCACTCCCAAAGTCCTGCCTGGGGATGTTCTTGCTGATATTTCTGATCTTTCCTTTGAAAGGGACCCTCAGACAGCAAAGCCCTGCAGGAAGGGAGGAGGGCAAGGCTGCAGCCTCAGGAATTGCTCAGCAGTGCTGCTTAAATAAATATTCATCCCACACTGGGCTCTTTTATCACCAGGAGTTAACTCCAGTGGGAACTCTGGAAGAAAAGCTGAGCACAGCTCAAATCCAAACTGTATCTCCAAACTGCAATTCATTGGTGTGACCTTGGAATTCCCCTGGACCCTGGGGACAGATTTGCAGGTGGAGAAGCTCCCAGAGCTCCCTCAGCTCAGGATTTCAGCCCTGAAACCTGATGTCAGCTCCAGTCAGTTCTTAGGAAAGCAAACCTCTTCACTGGGGGGCAAAGTTTAATAGGAGAGAGAAGTAACAGGTGCCATGGCCAAGCCAAACACCCAAATACCTGAGCCCTCCTGTTCCCAGCCCCTGACCCCTCCTGCCTCACTCCCAGCCCTCACAGCTCTCTGAAGTCTCACCTCTACCTGCCCCAGGCCAGTGAGCGAGCAGAGTTTCTGCTAAGAGTTAAATCCAGTTTTGCTGAGATGCCCCCAGGGCTTGCCACATACCTGACATATTTCCATTTCTGACAGCTCTGCCTTGAAGACATTTGTTAACCTCTTGGGTTGTAAAAGACCCAGTTGCCTTTGGGCTTATTGAGATCCCAGAGCCAGGCAGGGTTTTCCCAAGCTTCAGAGACTTGGGGTATTTATGCTTCTCTTTTTTTTTCTTAGTTACTTAATCTGTTTTTCAATTCCCACTAGATACAAATTGTTAATGAGAGTCTGAGATGCAGAAGAGACAGCAGAGCTGCAAAGACGTTGCTGTAATGAACTTTCCTGGTTTTGAGGTGAAAAGGGATCTTGTGACCTGCCTGGTCCCCTTCACACCCACAGGCACAGCAGGGTGGTCAGTCATGTCTGCATCCCCTGTGGAAAGGGGGCTCTTTGTTCCCTGAGCTGGGGCTTATTCAAACAGGCTGCAGTACAAGTGAGCAGAGCCCTGAATTGCTGCAAAACCCTTTCTTCAGAGTTATCCATCAGCGCTAAGAAAACATCCCTGAGCCAGTCTGGGTGTACCCAGAGTGTTTATTAGCTCATGGCAGTGCTTAAGCACACACCGAGGCACGGTGTCCTGCTGCTGTCCTGCCAGGCAAACACTGCCTGGGGCCTCTGCAGTGCCAGGGCTGGCAGCTCTGTGTCCCCGGGCACTGGGGCAGGGCCTGGGCTCTCAGGAGGAGCTGCAGCTTTGCCGAGGACCATTCCCAGCCCCCCTGCACGGGCTCTCTGTACCTTGGCTTCCTCGTGGATGTTCCACACGAAGGACAGGGCATTGTAGGCCAGCTCCTCGATGTTCTGCACCGTGTTGAAGTTCTCCTTGCAGTCAGCTGGAAGGCAGGGGAGGAGCACTTCACACTGGGGCTGAAACTGGTGACATTCCCGAGGCCTCCCACCCCCAAATCCTGCCCCTGGCTGACTCCCAGGGCGAGGGAAGCCCTGGGGGGCACTGGAGGCAGAAGGAGCCCAGCCCCTCGTACCCACGTCGATGACTCTCTGCTTGGCCGTGGGCTGCCGGGAGTGCCAGTGCTTCCAGAACTTCAGCTGCTCCGTGGGGATCTTCTCGTTGTCAAACACGATCATCACCACGCTCTGCAACACAGCACAGCCAGCTGAGCACAGAGATCAGTGCCCCTGACCCCACAGCCAGCTGGGCACAGAGATCAGTGCCCCCTGACCCCACAGCCAGCTGGGCACAGAGATCAGTGCCCCTGACCCCACAGCCAGCTGGGCACAGAGCAGATCAGTGCCCCCTGCCCAGCACAGGGCAGATCAGTGCCCCCTGCCCAGCACAGAGCAGATCAGTGCCCCCTGACCCAGCACAGAGCAGATCACTGCCCCCTGCCCAGCACAGAGCAGATCAGTGCCCCCTGACCCTTCCATCCTGCACTGCCCTCTGGGCCACGTGAAACATGAAATTTTATGCTGGGGAAGCTGAGGAGGGCAGGGAAGGGATTTGGGCTCAGCCATTGGGCACATTCATCTCGGGGGCTGCTCCAAAGCCTGGCCACACATCCCAGGAGCAGGATGGGGTCCCTGGCTCAGAGCTCTTCCCAGCAGGGCCCCACTGGCCCTTTGTGCATTCCTGGGCTCCTGTGACAGGTTCCAGCTGCCAGGGAGGCTCTGCAGTGCAGCAGAGAATTATCCTGTGGGATTGAATCCACCCCGTTCATCCCTTTAAGCCAACATGAGCCACAAAGCCATTCCTGCTCACGTTCAGCTCTGTTCCCAGGCCAGAGGAGCTGCTGGATGTCCCATTCCAGAGCTGTCAGCAGAGCTGTCAGCCTGTCTCTGTCTCTTACCTTCACTTTATTTGAGGACAAGTGCAAACATTTGCTGTCTCCAGCTGTCCGCAGTGTGATGGGGTAGAACTGTCCTTTGTTGAGGTAGGCCATGGGAGAGTCCCCAGATTTGATGTGAATGGCTTTGGGTGACCCCAGAGTGTATTCAAAGTCACTTGGATGGAACAAAGAGAGAAGGATGAATAAGCACAAGTTGCTGTTTCACTGCAAAAGCAAAACAGAGCCCCAGGAGCCTCCACCCCACGGGTTACAGGCTCCAGTTTCTGCTCCATTCCCCACCTCACACACCTGACACAGCACATTCTGATCCTCCCCAACACCCTGGGGAGCAGCACTGCTCCAACAGCCTCATTTTAACCCCCAGTTTTGGCTTAAAAACCCCTGGATGTGATTGCAGCCAGTATTTTTGTGTGGATGGCAACAGAACCATTGCTCAACCAGCAAAACACACAAAAATGGGTTCCTGTGAAGGGACTTCTACAACATCCTAAACTCAGGTTCCTGTCTCCAATGCCATACCCATAACTGGCTGAGCCAGGAAGACTCTCCCTTAATGGTCCTGTACAAGAAGAACCTGCAGGACACCAACACCTGCTTGGTTATGCAGAACTGGGCTCAGAATCCCAGCTCTGGGACTCTCAGTGTGGTGAGAACTTTAATCTCTACAGAAAAGCTTTGTGGTGGCACACAGAGAAGGTGGCACTGCTGGCAATGGAAATTTGAAAGAAGAGCCTGAATTCAGCAGCTCTCAGGCCTTCACCAGCAGCTGTGAGCACTGAAACCATGAGGCCACAGCTGGTTTCTGCTGGGAGGAATCCGTGCAAGCCACCACCTGTACAGGAGCCTCCACTCAGACCCTTCAAGTGCCCTGTTTAGTCACCAACCCATCTTCTTCCTGCTCCACCTCCTGTGATGCCATCTCTGAAATTGGGCTTGGCAGCTCCTCTTATCTGGAGCCAGGAGAGGCAGAGAACTTCAGTGCACAAATAAACAGTGAGCAGGGAGCCTCTGGCTCGGGAGAGCTCTGTCTGTGTGAACATCCCCACGTCTGACAGCTGACTCACCCAGTCAGCTGACTCAGGAGCAAATAAAAAGTGGGAGGTGAAATAATGTTACCTGCTGGGAGGTTTGATTTGGTATCTGGAGCAGCAAAGTTCTGCCTGGCAGAGGGGTGGAAAGGAGGAAGGAATCCCTCTCATGTTTTAGGAATGAGAGGCAGTGGCACCCTCTAAAATCAAGGCTGACTAACAGTGCTAAGTGAGAACCTAAACCTTAGATTAGGGGAGGCTGATTATCACCCTCATGCCCTGCCAGCCTCCTTTTCCCTGTCATTTACCCCATTCCAAGTGGCCTGTGGGAAGATGGGGCAGCCACCTTGGTCCCTCTGTGTCACCCAGCCAAGCAGTGCTCCCTGGGAAGGGGCTGTCACCCTGAGATGTGACAGCAGATGGGCCTGGATTGGCCCCAGTCTGGGGGCAGAACAAGCCCAGCTTTGGTCTAAAAGCTTGTGGGACAGCCCCTTGCTCCAAAAACATCAGGGAGACACAACTGGTGTGTGCACAAGCACAGGCTCTGTCACTGCTCTGGTCACTGCCAAGGCTGGAGTGGGGATGCAGTCCTTCCCCAGGGAAGAGACAGAGCCAAGAGTTCCCTGGAACCCCAAGCCCTGGGCTGCTGTTACCTCTTCACTCCATCCGTGGGGAAGCTCTCGGGGCAGGGAGGCTCTGGCTGGGGTTTGAGGATGTCACTGAAGAGCAGCGTCTGCAGACAAGAGCAAACACAAACCCAGAGTCAAATCCCTCATGGCTTTGTCCATTCACCTCTCCCAGACACCACACCAGATGACTTCCAAATTCAACATAAACCCCCAGAAATCCAGCAGGAAGAGCAGCAGCTCCCAACGGAGAAGCAAAGCTCAGTTCCCCCCACCAGCCTGACCTCCTGGGGGTCCTCCTTGAAGGTGCTGTCGGGCTGCCAGCGCTGCTGCGGGGCCAGGGGCAGGCTCTCGAACAGGGAGCTCAGGGAGCTGCTGTCATACACGTCCCCCGGGGGCACCAGGAAGTTATCTGGGGTGGCTTCCAGCTTGCTGGTGCCCGGAGGGAGCAGGGCTGCCTTGTGAGGAGCAGGGACACCCTCGAGACTCAGGCCGTTCTTCTTGGGAGGCTCGCAGAACTCCTGGCTCATGGAGACGTTTTCTGACAGCAGCTTCATGAGGTGGGCTGAGCCATCGAAGGAGGGCAGCTCAGGCTCAAAATCCATCCCGTGGCAGTGCCTGCTGGAGAGAGTCCTGGCTCAGGGCAGGGCAGGGCAGGCACCCCCAGCACGGTGTCAGGGCCAGCAGGGTCTGGGAGCCTGGCAGCCCCTGGGCATCTCCACCCACAGCTCTCAGAGCAGCCAGCAAGAGCCAGAGGGGCTCAGCAGATAAGGGATGACCACAGGGAGTCAGGGAATATGGTCTGGACATGGTTTGGGGCTGCACATCCACTGCTCCTTCATTGAGGCCACCACACACTCAGAGCAGCAGGGGTGGTAAGAAAGGTGACTACTCTGTGGGCTGTCCATAAGTCTTTTCATGGCTCATTGATGCTGAAAGTTAATTTTTTATACCATTTTTTTAAGGAAAAACAATTATTGCACAAATTCACAAACTCCAGCAACTTAGGAAGCAAAAACCAAAACCAGCTTAACTCAGTTTACTTCTGAAGGAGTGAAGTATCACTTGAGGTTTATTCTGTCAAGTGGTTCAAGACTGACAATGCCAAAGTACAAAGCATCCAGGAAGGGGAACTGAGCTCACAGTGGCCATTAATGAGCCATTAATATAATAGTCAATTATCTGAAAACCTCAAAGGACAAATGGGAGTCACTGGAAGAGAATCCTGGGAGAGTGGAACAGAAACTCTCATCAGCCCAGGGAGTGAATGAGGATTTGGCCATTCAGTGCTCAATCCTTGTGCCCTTTGCAATTGTCACAAAATAGGAAATAAAGGCAATTTCTTCATCAGCTGCCAACCAGCAGAACCCCTGTGAACACAGCCAGACAGATGCTCAGGTGTGGAAATGGGTGTAGCTCCATTTTTACCTGCTTGGGACCTGGCCTAAGGAATTTTAATGTGTGTCTCAGGGTTAATGAGCTGCACTGTTGCTGGTAATAACACCGTGCTTTGATGTCTATTTTCTGCAAGCTCAGAGCCCCATCCTGCATTTCAGCAGCTGCAGGAGAGTGAGGCAGCTCCAGAGAGCAGGAACTGAAGCCAACCTCTTAGCCAGGTCATTGCGTGCCATCATCCCAGCTGGGAGAATCCTCTTCTCCTTGGGGACCTGGGACAAGGCAGAGCAGAGTCTGGTTAGGGTTGGATTTTGTTACAGGGAAACAGAGCAGAATTAGCCCTGTCTGATAAAAGCAGATAAAACCCCAAGAGAAGAACAAACAGCAGAGCAGGGCTCTGCCCTGGGCTCCCAAATAACCTTGGACAAGCCACAGCAGCTTGTTCTGGGCAGGGCCTTAAAAGCACCCAAGTGAGTGGGAAAATCATTGCTATTCCCAATCAGGGATAAATCAGATCCACACTGCTCAAAGCTCCATCCTACAGCAGCACTGGGAGAATAAAACTGGTGGGGTCTGCTCCAGCCCAACAGCCCTCAAAGCCCTCATGGGTAACAATCCAGGCTCAGGGCACCTGGGTTCAGGTTTTCCACACGTTCTGGATTCCCTCAAAGTGCTGGATTGTGCCTCAGTTTACCTCTGGGGATACTGGTGGCACAGTTTGTTGGATAAACAACTCAGGGGGCTCAGTAGATGGGGGAGCTCAGTAGAGGTCCCCTCTAAGGTGGTACGTGTTTTACACATATTTTACACCTCTTTTAGCCCAGTTTTACCCCAGTTTTAGCCCAGTTTTAGCCCAGCCCAGGGGCACCCACCATGTAGTAGTCATAGAGGAGGCTGAGGGCGGCCACGCTGTCGTCGTCCCCGTTCACCCTCATCATGGCCTTGGTGGCTGCAGTCAGGGGGTTCTCCAGGTAGGTTTTCCAGGCTTCATCCTCGCTGGTGTAGGGGAATTTCTGGAAGTTCATGGTGTCATTCTTCATCAGACGCACGGATCTGAAACTGGGGGGGCCAGGAATCAGGGAGGAGCTTTTCCCACAGAGGTTTCCATGAACTCAGGAAGGGCTTCCCCAAGGCTCAGTGGGATGGAGGAGGGATGTTCTCCTGCTCCTGAACTCCCAGAGCCTTTGGGATCACCACCTCTGCTGCTGTAGCTGGGCACAAAACCAGGCCAGAGCCTCTCCTGGGGTAGCTGCTCCCTGTCCTGCCCAGGGAGGAAAACCCCATCAGCTGCTCCTCCTCCAGCCCATCCTGCTCTGTCACAGGGGTGCTGGGCACCAAAAAGGGAGCAGGGAACAATTTTCCCTTGGATGTGGAGCTCCAGGCCAGCACAGCCCATCCAGATGAAACCAAACCTCATTGTTTTTCTTTGCTGCAGTCCATGGGTTTGAAATTATTTTTTTCCCAACCATTTGTAGATGATTTTACTCAGAGGGAAGCAGACAGGCAGATCACAACCCCCTCCCTTCCACTAAAAAATTCCTGACTGAGGTGAGGCTCGTGGGACTACGTGAGAAGCAACACACCAAAATAATGTCCTGCCTGTCCTCACTTCTGGCACTTTCTCCAGGCCTCTCCATCTTATGTTAATAAACTGTCAGACACTTAATTACCCAAACATGGGTCATCTTTCCTTTTCCTCCAGCAAGCCCTGCCAGCAGCCAGCCCAGCAGTGCCTCTGTGCATTCCCTGGGAGGTTGGAATCCTGGAATCCTGGAATTGTTTAGGTTGGAAAAGACCCCAGAGATCGAGGCCAGCCTTTGATGGAATCCCAGCACGTCCACAGAGGCTGAGCCCTGCTCCTGCCACACCTTCCTGTCACCTGCACCTGCTGCCACCACCACAGTCCACAGCATTCACCATAAAATAACATCTCTGTGGACAAAAATTCCCTTTTGCTCAAAGTGGAAATGTCCAGGAAGGACAAGACTGGGTTTTATTAGAAGAAAGGTTTTGAAAACTTCTTTAAATCTCCAAAGTTGCCAGGAGCTGACTGGAGCTGAACCATGACATCACCTGCTGATGTTTGTTCATGGAAAGGCAAAGGAAACCTTCAGGAGTTACAGCAATGAATGCTACAGTTTAATGGCATTTTTATAAGGAATAAATTGTTTTCATTAAGCCACTATCCATATATTTATAAAAAGTCCTGGTCTAGACTTTTAAGTGAATCATTCAGAGAACAATAATTCCTCTTGGGAGGAACCTGGCATCCCTGAAACTCCCCGTGGATGCTCTGGCACCAGGCACTGCCCCCCTGCACAAACCCACATTAAACCGTGCAGGGATGCCTTGGGATGCCCCTGGCTCAGACTGCCGAGCTCTCCTTAGCTCACACTCCTGCTTGGGTCCTCCCCTGCCTAACAAAACAAACTACAGCACAGAATTGCTCTGCAGTTCAGGAATTACAGCTGATTTTTGACATGAAGCCACCAAGGGCTGTTTCTGCTGTCTGTGGCACCTTTTCCTTAAGGAATCCTTTGCTTTCCCTGCACACCCGAGCTCTGGAGCCCGGCAGAGAAAAACACACGGGGCAGGATGGAGCAACAAAGCACTGGGGAGCTTAGCAAAGCACCCAGGTAACCAGGAGAAATGGCTAAATGAGAGCATCCCTTGTGTGATTATTCCCTTCTGCCTCCCTGCCCCTCACCTCTGCTGGGAGAAACCCTGGAAAAGGCACCCAGGGACTCCTGGCCTGGCCTGGCAGAGAGCAAAGGCAAAATGCCCTGAGCTGGAGAGAGCCAAAGGTGGGCACACAGAGCTCCTGGTGCTCCTGGGAGCAGAGCCCAGCAGAGGGGACAGCAGAGGGGACAGCAGTTCAGGACAGCAGTTCAGGACAGCAGGGGTGGCAGCAGAGGGGACAGCAGTTCAGGACATGCTGGGAGCTTCAGGCAGGTTCTGAGGTGCTCAGAAGCCACAGAAGCCATGAGAGACAGAGCAGCTGCTCCATGCACTGGGAACTGCACTGGTCCCAGTGAGGCTGGGCTTCATCCCGCTGAGGAGTGGCACAAGTGACAGGAATTGCACCTTTATCCCACCTTGTTCCTGTTCCAGAGTCCATGGGATCCCTGGAAGGCACTGGGATGTGTGACTGAGCCCCTCAGAGCCCACCCTGCAGGGGGGTGAGGGAACATGCCCCCCATTCACTGCCAGCCTCAGGGCTGAGAGGTCAGCCCTGCTCTGACCCTGTTCCCAAAGTCACCACGGCTCCCCAGCATCTGAGGAGAGAGGTGATCTGAGCAGATGAGCAGCTGTGGTGACAAGTCCAAGGCACCTTTTTGACACCAGGACCTACAGGACACGGTGCTCAGTTTGCTCCCCCAGCCCTTCAGAACTCACAGATCCCATCAGCAACCTCTGTGAGGCACAGCTGCAGGGAAGAGTCACCCAAATCCAGATCCAAACACAGCAGGAAAGTCACCCAAATCCAGATCCAAACACAGCAGGAAAGTCACCCAAATCCAGATCCAAACACAGCTGAACTTTACTTTCCTCGCTGCCTGTGATGCCCCTGCACGTGGCCAGGCCGTGTTTGCCCATTCCAAGCTCCCTGCTCTGTTTGGCAAAGCCAGAGCTCCTTCCCAGGCCAGGGAAACACAAACACTGGGACCAGCAGCCTCCCTGCCCCCTGTGCACACCGGAGCTGCAGCCTGGGGCCATGAGCAGAGCAGGATTTGGGGCAGGGAGCAGTCTGTTTGTTTCCAAACACTTGGGAGTGTGACACAAGGTGATCCCAGCTCCTCTCCCGCTCCAGCCCACCCCTCCTCTGTTTCCCCAATTTCTCCTGGTGATGGATAAACACTCAGGGCTGTGCTGGAGCAGGAGAACATGCCCAAAGGGTCCAGGTGGGGACACCAGCCAAGCAGGAAAGAGCCCTTGAACTCCTTCTGCCTCTGCTGGGTGTCTGTGGAGGCTTTGCTGGCCTTTGAGCTCGGTGGGGCTGCCTTTGTTCTCCCCACTACACCTGATTAAGCTCCAGCCTAAATCCTGGCCCTGCCAGATGCTGTGGCTGCAGAGCAGCATCACTCTGAGCCCTGTGAGCAGCACCACTGAGCCCAGTGAGCAGCATCACCCTGTGAGCAGCACCACTGAGCCCTGTGAGCAGCACCACTCTGAGCCCTGTGAGCATCACACTGAGCCCTGTGAGCAGCATCACCCTGTGAGCAGCACCACTGAGCCCTGTGAGCATCACTCTGAGCCCTGTGAGCATCACTCTGAACCCAGTGAGCAGCATCACCCTGTGAGCAGCACCACTGAGCCCTGTGAGCAGCACCACTCTGAGCCCTTCTGAGCATCACTGTGAGCCCTGTGAGCAGCACCACCCTGTGAGCAGCACCACTGAGCTCTGTGAGCAGCACCACTCTGAATCCTGATGAGCAGCATCACTGAGCCCAGTGAGCAGCATCACTGTGAGCCCTGTGAGCAGCAGCAGAAATGAGGCACAGGACAGAGCCCCCAGCCCTGAGGAGCTCAGGGGTGCCCCAGGCAGCTCCTGTGGGGGTTCCATCAGCTCTGGGCTTGGCCATTGCCCTCTCCTCCCTCTTGAAAGAGCCCTGGTGCTCCCCAGGTTCTTGTCAGAAGTTCAGGGCAGGATCAGCAGTGCCCTGGGCAAGGCAGGGCCAGCAGCTCTCCCTGGGCAGGGACTGCAGCCTGCACACCCCTGTCAGGAAGGACAGCATCCCTCCAAGGGCCCTCAGTACTGAAGCCAAACCTCTCAGCTAAGCTGTGATTTTGTAATTCCTCTGCAGGTTTAATAAACAAGCATACCTGAAGACAAGGTGACAGCACAGCCAGCAGTGAGTGCATTGTCACCAGCCCACTCACACAGCCAGGCAAAAATCCAAACAGAGACAGAACCAGGAAAAAAAAAAAACCCAGAAAGAAACACAACAAACACAGACTAATGATGGAAAACAGTGCTGGGGTGCCAAGCACAACACAGTGTCACTCCACAGGCCCAGGAGACCACGCTCTCTCTCATGGCCCCTGACCTGCACTGCCTACGGGATATTTCCTGGGATATTTTCTCTGGCAGCTGCAGAACAATGTGGGCTCTGTCACTGGCTTTGTGCAGGGCCATTTCAGCAGCACCCTCAGCCCAGGGTTAACTCAGCTCAGCCACCCAAAGACTCCCAGCAGTGCAGGAGCTTCTCCTTCCCTGGGTTCTGTGTGGCACAGGGGGGATCCAGGACCCTCCCCAGCCTGGCACAGCACGGGGCACCCTGCAGGAATGTGCCTGCCTGGCATGGGAAGGAAAGGGAACACCATGAACAGCTTTGGGAGATGGCTCCTGATTCCCACAGGGCTCTGGGGGTGCCAGTGGAGCTCAGTGGTGACTCCTTGGTGGGGTGGGCACTGATCCCCCCCAGCAGATCCAGCTGGGAGCTCTGCAGGCTGAGCCAGACAAAGCTCCTGGGGCAGCTGCTCCTGGGGAAAGTGCAGGGATCCCCTCCCCTGGTCCTCCTGGGGAAAGTGCAGGGATCCCTCCCCTGGCCCTCCTGGGGAAGGTGCAGGGATCCCCTCCCCTGGCGCTCCTGGGGCTCCCACCAAGAAACCTCAAACCAGCTCAACATTTGTGCTTTTTCACCCAGCCTAACTCCTGCTTCTGCAGCTCTTTATTCTCACAGCAGAAGGACCTGGGGACAGGATTGACACTGAAATGCCATCCCATGCCTGGGATGTTTGGGGACAGCAGCTGGGGCTGTGCCTTACCCCAGGACATCACCCTGGAGGGATCCACCCACCCCATGCCACTGCACAAACCAGCCCTGCCCTAGTGCCTCCCCTGGCCAGCAGAACAAAGCTCAGCACAGGATCCCTCTGCAGTTCAGGAATTATGGCTGATTTCTCCCAGAAGCAATTTCTGATGTCAGGTGGTTCTGTTTTGGGATGTCCTGAGTTTCAGGGATATCTGACTCCAAAGGGAGACACAAAACCAGGCCCTGAGCATCTGCTCCCACTCTGAAATATTGCTGTGAACTTCCCTCTCATTCCTGTTTTCATTGTGGACAGATACAGGCACTTTATGGATACAAAGCCTCACTGTCCCAACACATCACACTTTGCACTGAGGCTCCCAGTGCTTCACCCACCAAAAGGAAGATGACACAGGTAATTTTTGTAGATTCTCTAACTCCAACAGCCATGACTTCTAAATAACATGAACTTTTAAAAAATCCCTGTTTTACAAGATGTGGATTTAAACCCACCAACGGTAGCCATAATACACAAACTTCTGCAACAAAATTTGTTTCTTTTTTCCTCCTCCTCAGTGTGGTTTTTTAAGCCAGTAATCAGCTATTATGGCTTGTCTGTGCTTAGAACAAAGCCCAGCTTTACTCAGTGTCCTCTGCTTCCCTCAGCACACCCTGCCAGAGGCTGCTGCAGGGACACACTGGGGATGTCCCACGTTTCCAAGGAAGCAGTGAGCCAAGGAGAGCAGAGACTGGAGCTTCCAGCCTCAGTGCTGTGCTCAGTCCCAGCACAGTCGTGTCCCACCCCAGGGATGTGCTGATCCCTCCCTGCCTGGCTGCAGCCAGAGCTCACGCCTGGCACGGGGTTTGTGCCCTGCTGAAGGTGG